ATGTTGTACTTGAATTTAAATCTACTTTAGTAAAATATAATTGGCATACAATAAGATCAGCCCATGTACATTTCAGTGATTTTTGACAAATGTATATGCCCATGTAACTGACACTCAATCAAGCTATATTATTACATATTTTCATTACCCCAAAAAGTTCCCTGGTCTTAGAAAACTACTGCCTAATTTTTGCCCGTTTTCAAATTTTATAAAAATGTAATAACAGAGCATGTACTCTTGTGTTAAGTTCCTTTCATTCAGCATAATTTGAGATCATTTTGTTGCATACATCAGAAGCTTCTTCATTTTTAGTGTTGAATAATATTCAGTCATATGACTATACCACAATGTATTTACTCATTCACCAGCTGAGGGAAAATGAAACTATTCCCAAATTGGGGCAAATATAAATAAAGCTATTATGAATATTCATGCACAAGTTTATTTTGGAGAAAAGCTTGCATTTCACTTGGGTAAATAGGAGCAGAATCAGTGCATCATATGCAACATATTTCACTAATTTTTAATTTTATTAAAATATGTCAGTGATTTCTAAATTGGTTGTACCATATTACACTCCCACCAGCAATAAATGAGAATTCTAGGTACTCACCAATTGTCTGTATTTTTAACTTAGTCACTCAGTTTGGCATAAAATGATATCTTATTGTGATTTTATTTACCTTTCTGTGATTACAAATGATACTTATTCTCCTTTCATTTTTTTACTGGCCATTTATTGATATACATATATATCTTCTTTTTTTTTTACTATTTCTAATTGGCTATTGTGTTTTCTTTTTATTAAACTGTAAACGTTCTCTATTCTGAACATATCTCTTGTCATACATGTTGAATACTTTTTCTCCCAGAGAGTAACCTTTTATTTTCTTAGCAGCATATTTTAAGGAACAGAGTTTGACATTTTTATGAAATCCCATTTAGATTGTGTTTTTTGCTTTTATTGTTCTGTGTAAATTTTTTTTGCCCAGCCCAACATTGTAAAATTTTTTTCTTCTATGTCTTCTTTTGACATTGTTTTTGCCTTAGTGGTTAGGCCATTGGTCCATCCTGAGTTACGTTTAACTCTTTATTATGGAGTATTTCAAATTATGAAAAGTAGAGAGGAATACAGTTATCTATGTGCCCTTCCAATTACAACAATTATCAACACTATGCCACATCAAGACACATTTTAGTTAAAAAAAAAAGAGTATCTAGGAATATCACGGAGACTATAACCAAGATGAGAAAGCATACATTGTACAAAAATGAAGAACGATGTAAAAAAATATAAAATAAAAAAAAGCAACAAAAGAAAAGCTTGTCACACACAAGGGAAATTGCATTAGACTATCAGATTTTTTCAATGGAAACTTTGGAGACAGAAGAGAGTGGCATGACATGCTGAAAGGAAAAAGCTTCCAGGAAAAATTCTTTACTTTGTAAAGGTTAATGTTCAGAACTGAAAGAGATTAAGAGTTTCCCAGAAATCAAAAACTAAAGGAGTTCATCACCACTAAGCTGGCCTTCTAAGAAATGTCAGAGATTTCTTTAAACAGAAAAGAAATGGCATCAACATCTAGAAAACACACAAAAGAAAAATCTCACCGGAGAAGGTAATTGTACATAGAAGCAGTGAGTCTATCATTTATAAAGCAAGCATGAAGATGAAAAGATAAAAGTAGTAAAATTAAAACTACAGTCCTTTATCATGGGATATGTATAATACAAAAACATAAGATACAAAACTTTGGGTGAGGGAGTAAACAAAATATAAAGTTTTAAAATGTGTTCAGAGTTAAGAAGTTATCATCCCAAACACAGTACTGTACACATAGAATATTCTAAGGGAAATAAATCAGACAGAAGACAAATACTGTATGATCTCACTTATATGTAAAATCTAAAAAAAGAAAAAATCATAGAAACATAGAACAGGCTGATGGTTGACGAAGGTGGGGGTGAGAGTGGGGGAAATGGATGAAGTTGGTCAAAAGACACAAGCTTCCAGCCATAAGGTAAGTAATTTCTGGGGAAGTAACTCACAGCATGGAGATTCTAGTTAAAAATAATGTACTGCTGGGCCCTCCCTGGTGGCACAAGGGGTTAAGATGCAACCTATGTAGCAATCTGCAGCCACTGCAGCACAAGTTCGATCCCTGGCCAGGGAGGTGACCCACATGGCGCAGCAGACCTCTCCTGACTCACCCGCTGCTCCCCTCAGCAGTGTATTTCGGTCAATCTGCCTATTCTGTTCCCCACTCTGTCTCTGGTGAATCCTCTCACTTCCCCACACCTCTGGCCTACACCCCAGTATTTGCATGCATAATTTAAAAAATCTTTAAAAATAATAATGTATTGCTGATCTGAAACGAAACTGGGGACATGAGGACCAGTGTCTCACCAAGGAGAAGAGAGAGAACCCATTGGAAAGGGTAGGAAAGACTTAGAAGGCATCAGGAACAATACCATTCACCAAGAGGTGAAGAGCAGGAGGGTTATCTGCCCTTCCACCACTATGTCCCCAGGCTGCCTGTAGCCCCAGTCAGGGAATGGGAGCACATACTTTTCAGAGAGAACATAGTCTATACATCTGTCCAGTGAATTGGTTCAGCAGGGGGGGAATTATTTTCTATTTTGTGATGCCATATTTCCTTGATTTTTCATAGTCTGAGTCATGAACATCTGCTTTCACATTTGAAGTACTATGCCTTCCTTTTTACATTTTTTGTTACTCAAATCATTTTATTTTTACGGTATATTTTTTATTGAGGTAACATTGGTTTATAATACTGTATATGATTCAGAAGTAGAGGTTCACACCTCATCAGATGAATTAACTATTCCACACCGACCACCAAGGTTTATAACCCATACCAAACTCAACCCACAGTCTTCCACCATAGCCCATTGGGGTCCCTCCCTCCTTTGCTCCCCACACTCACTCTCTCACTCTGGTTGCCTGAATTCTAAGGTCTAATACCTTCCCTAATTAAAACTTTGTCTTCTTTGATTTTTAATATCAACAGGCTGGCTGCTGAAAACCTCTTGTAGTCCAAATGGTGGCACTTCAGTTCAAGTTCATGGTCTCTTCTACCAGGGCTGACTCAGGCAGATGCAACCGGAGCTAATGGGAGGAACTGGTGGCAAAGTTGGAGGAGATGGGGCTTAGCACCTGGGACTTTGGGGTCTCCACAGTGAAGGGATTCCATAGCAGAACACTCCCAGAATTCCATGGGAGGCCCTCCTGCTGACTCCTGAAGCAGACAAGAGGTAAAGAATTCCTTCCATGTCCTTCAGGATTCTCACCTTCCTCCTTCCCTTATCTCTCCCTACCAGTCAGAGGTCAGAGATAGCTCCTCAGAAACATGGGTGCTTCCTGAGGTAAATGTATCCTTTCATTATAACTGGCACAACTGGAAGAGCCAGGTAATCACTCACCACTTCCTCTTTCTACCTCCTCTGTAGGACAGGTCAATGCTTTCCTGCCAGAGAGGATGCTGGTGCTACTAAGGCACAGTAGCACAGCCCTGTGTAGAATGTGTGTGTGTGTGTATAGTGTGTGTGTTCTGTGTATGGGTGTATGTGTGTCTATCTGTCTGTCTGCCTGGGGTGAGGGAGAGGCCCTTACAATTTCCTCCCTCTCTTTTGCATCCAAACTCATCTCTACCCTCCTCTACTAACTACCAGATTCTCCTGTCAGGCAGTCTGGACATCCATAATTTCTCTAACAAATATGGGTATCCACCAAGTTCGCACACTTCAGGTTCCCTTTATCCTGATCATGATGAGCAAAGGTGGATATGCAGCCCCACTAAGATTCTCCCCGCTCATGTTCCAATGCAGAGGTGGGTAGAAACCTCCCAGCCACTGAGGTTCAGTATGCAGAGGCATTTCTTTTTCAATTATGGATGTCCAATTACTTGCCAATCAAAGAGGAGAGAAAAAAGGAATGACTCACCCTGCCATAATTCTAACATCACCATTATTTTCATTTTAACTCTTTTATCTTCAATGTTGGTTCTTATAAATAGCATAAAATTGTGTTTTACTTTGCTTTTGTTTTTTAATTGTGCTTACATACATGCTTACATGCTTACATACATGCAAACTTTTCTTTATCCCAAAAAAGATAACCTTCTTAAAGAAGAGCACATAAGTCAAAGTGTCCCCCATTATTTATTAGTACTTCTCCAAGGAACCTTCATTACTAACAAATCATTGAGATCAAAGTGTGCTGATTTATAAACATATTCATACATACGTATTTACTCCTCCCTTAGAACTTAGACACTTAGTTGGTTATCCTGAGTCACAGATCTTCCATCATAGCTAAAATACCCACTCTCAGCCTTAGAAAAACATTGTAGATCCTGACTCTCAATCGTCAAATAATGTATGAAACATTCCACTCAATATCTTTGGAACTATTAAAACTACAAGAGTCCTAATCCATTAAACTGGTTCCCAAGGCATCCACAATAATCTCAGGAATTACCACACTTTACCTGCTGTTTGGTATTTACGTACTTACCACTCACACTACAATCTTAACACACCTGTCTTTTCATTTAGTGAAGATTAATGTAAATAAGTTTTTCACATTCTACCCTCTTGAATAAAAATGTAATGTTTACAAAAAGGTTATTTTAAAATATATGAATAGAATTAAATTTTAATATGCTAAAGTATCATACTCATACAATCTGCAAGGGCAAAAATGAAGCAAGAGAACAAGGCATAAAAGAAAATAAAGAGTTGGTGGTTGGGTAGCCTTGATCAACAAGTATACTCTAAGTCTCCAAGGATAAGTGAGGAGATTAGGTCAATTTATTTATAAATTCCATTCAAAATTAAATGATCTAGGATCATAGGAAAAAAATTTGAGTATAATAATATTGGAATAGTAAAGATGAGTTAACAGGGCAAATAAATCTATAGAAAATGCTCAAAGACTTAAACTTTTCTGTGCCTATCTCCCTTCTCAAATACTTTTCTCAAGAAGGCATTTTTATTCCCAAAGTTTTCCTCAGGGAAACTTTGACATCCTTGTTCCTCAAACTATAGATTAGTGGGTTTAACATTGGCACCACAATGGTATAGAACAAAGAGGACACTTTCCCCTGCTCAAGGGGCAAAACAGAAGGTGGTTTGAGGTACATGAAAGCCCCAGAACCAAAGAACAGGCAAACCACAATGATGTGGGAGCTACATGTACTGAAAGCTTTGGACTTGCCCTCAGTGGAGGGAATGTGGAGGATGCTGAAGAGGATCAGAGCATAAGAGATGAAAATGGTGACCAAGGGCACTCCAATGTCAATGGCCACAACTACGAAGACCACCAGCTCGTGCACGTAAGTGCTGTTGCAGGACAGTTCAAGGAGAGGAAGGATGTCACACATGAAATGATTGACAAGGTTGTCAGCACAGAAGGTCAGGCTTGCTATGCTTCCTGTGTGGGCCATGGCCCCTGAGAACCCCATCACATAGACACCCAACAAAAGGAGGAAACAGACCTGGGGAGACATGGTGGTCGTGTACACCAGTGGTTTGCAGATGGCGACATAGCGGTCATACGCCATCGCTGACAGGACGAAAGACTCAGAGATGACAAAAAAACAGAAGAAAAAGAGTTGAGTCAGACATGATGCATGGAAGATTTGATTCTTCTTTGAGACAAAACTCTTCAGCATTTTGGGGATGATGGTAGTGGAATAACTGAAGTCTATGAAGGAGAGGTTGAAGAGGAAGAAATACATGGGGGTGTGGAGACGAGTGTTCATCCCAATCAGGGTGATCAAGCCCAGGTTCCCCACCACGGTGACCACATAGAAACTTAGAAACAGGAAAAAGAGAGGGAGCTGTAGTCCTGGCTTGTCTGTTAAGCCTGCGAGGATAAACTCTGTCACAGAGAAGTTCTCAGCTGCCATTCTCCTCTAGAAAGGTGGGGGGAAGGTCTGTAGGGACAAGAGAAGAAAACTGCTTAGAGAGAGAGAAACATCACCGCTGCCCTCCCCGTATCTTGAGAATGGAATCCACAGAGAGATTTGAACTTTGGTACAGTAGAAAGATTTTCATTATGTGCTACAGATCTGCCTTCACAGATCCAGATCTAGAGAATAACATGGGGGTCCACACCACCTTCAGGATGAGAACCAGCACTTGGAGAGAGGGGTGCCAGAAAGGAGGTCAATGGTGATAGGTCTTTAAGTCAGTTGATTTTCTATGTCCTTTCTCTTGCCTCTGCTTCAGTGAATGAAACCTGAGTCCCACCTGGCTAAGACACCAGGACCTGCTCAGAGCTTCTGGTCTGCGTCACTGCTCTCAGATCAAAATTTTTCCAAGATCTCTTAGCTCAAGGGGTTTAGGTTTTATGATAATTATTACAACACTATTTAGATGTTACTGAGAGGCCATGTTCTAAGCTGTGTGACAGTATTATCCCCATTTTACAGGTGAGACAGACGAATTAAGTTACCAGCCCAGAGACCCAAAATTTCTGAGTTGCAGCCAAAAGGTGAAGGTGGGCAGTCTGACTCTCAGGACTTACACTGTGTTTCAAGCAGCAGCTGTGTTTCAAGACTGACAAGAGGCAGGCAGGCACTCACCTTCCCTTAGGATAAAGTAGTAATGCTCTATTCTACTGTCTTGTCCACAGTCTTCCCAGGAAGGACAATGATCTTAGTTAATAAAGATGAAGATTTGAGCCTGGAACTCACTCCTTCTAGTTGGAGTCACAAAATGAGAACCTTTCGTTAACCTTGTGACTCTGCACTGAAAACATGCTTTCCAATTGTTGATTCACCCAAAAGCCCCCTAGTCTTCAGGAAAGAGATAGTGTCTTTTCCTGACCAGTGTGTAAGAGGAGACTAATCAGTTTTATTCTTAACACAGATATCAATAATTCTGATTATTAAGATTCCCTCAAGACCTTTTCCTCAGAGAGTACTTTCCCTGAGGAAGAAGGAGTGTTTGTTTACACCCTTGATATTGCTCAATCTGGCTTTCAGAAAAAAAATATTACCTAATGTTTATCTAATATTCTTAAGAGAAAAAAATCATTGTGAAAAAAACTAACACTTGTTGACTACCCAATAATGCCCTGACAAAGCACCCTTATGTGGACTCCTGACTACCACAAGCCAAAGCTCTACAAAAATATATCCTTATTTACCCCTCACAATGATGATATCCATTTTAAAGATAAGTTGCTCACAGAAACACATTTCAGAGTCCACATGCCTGGGTCTATCTGACCAGGTCCTGACTCATAACCACTAGATGAAATTCCCTCCCAATGAGAGATACTCAAATGCACAAAGCAGGGTGCATGACTTGCCCATTTGTATCTGACAATTTCTTGGAAATTAACAAATACATAATGACGTTAATAAAAAGAAGAGGTAATTAGAGCAAGAGAAGGTTTACACAAAGGACTTAATTATAATTTAGGATAAGACTTTTGACAATTTATTCATATTCCAATTTATTTCAGGAGTTAATTGTACTAATCCCAATGCAAGAAAAGAGACCTCTTTTTCCTAGCCCTGTCTTCTCATAGTTTGTAAAGTTAATGGTAACAAAAACTCCCTACCAGGTAACGTCTCTCAAGCTCTACCAAGTCCAACCTTTCTCTAAAATGCTAATCTGTCAAACCTCCCTTTAACCATCTCTGCCTTTCACTCCTTTTAATACTTTTCGCAGATGACTCTAGCTTCCGAATGCTCTCAAACTGAATCCTAGTCGATCACATTTCCAGAGCAAGGACACATCCAAACCTGTGTTCCCTCGATAGTTAGCTTTTATCTTTTTCTGTCTTCTCCCTAACATCAACCTCTGCCTTGACAAAAATTATCTAACCAATGTCTCAATATCTCAGATATTTGCTTTCTTTAATAATCAAGATCACACACTAATAGAATTTAAGACCTGAAAAAATTCTGGAAATGACCCAATTCAGTATTTACCAAACTTAGCACCACAATTACTGAGAGTGTTTACTAAGAAGATACTCTAGCTCCCCAGACCTATGGACCAGCATCTCTATGGACATAAGTAGTCATTTTTTGAAGTCTTCCAAAGTGATTGCAATGCCAGCAATTTATGCATCCACAGAATAATATTCACCTTTATCTTACAACAACACAAAGGGGATCTAAAGAAGTCAAGTCACTTACCCAATGTCACAGATCTTGTTCAGTTTCCGGGTTCCCAATCTCTCCTAGTCCAGGAGCCCATAGAAAGTTCAGTTTGGCTGGAATGTAAAGAATGAGTAATTAAAAGTAAGCAATCAGACTCTCTATTTTAGGTGTACTTGAGTGGCTGGTATTTTATATACATATAATTATATATGCACTATTTGTAAACTTTGAGAAAGAGACTTTAAATACATATTGATTCATATATTTTATGCAAGCATTTAATTTGTGTAGCATTGTTTTCTGACAAAAGTAGATCATGTTATATATGACATTTTAAAGTTTTTACATGTAAAAATATATCAGTAACATCTTACATATAAAAAAATAAAATTAAACATCATTTATAATGGGTGTGTGGTATTCCTTTGATGAGAGAACCACAACTCAGTCATATTCATGATTTGGCTATTTTTATACCCAATTTTTCACTATGACAAATAATGCTAAAGCGAATGTACGTTTTTGCAAATATCACCATTTTCTTAGCATAAAATCTTGAAAGTGCAATTGAGTATCTAATGCAGTTTTTTAAATGGTTTTCAAACATACTGAATTGTATGTAAGGATGGTTTCCTAATAACATGCTTCTATAAGCAATATATGAGTGTGCTTCCCCCCACATCCTAGCTAACAACAGATGTTCTCATTCAAAAACTTCTCGACCCAATATGATTCTGAAAATGGCATCCCACTAACTTAGGTCATATTTCTTTGATTACTAGAGATGTTAGACATCGGGTATTTTTGTTTATTGGCTATTTTTCCATTTTAAATCAACTTTACTGATAAAATAGAATATCAAATATAGCTATTGGACATTTGCAATTTCCATTACCACAACAAGACCCCTTATCCACCTTGGAAGTCAATTGTCCCTGTCCCAGAAACCACTGACTTGCTTTCTATTATTATTGGTTAATTTTGCCAACTGTAGAATTTCATACCAATGAAATCTGAAGTAATGTACTCTTTTGCATAGCATGATACTTTTGAGATTTATTCATATTTTTGTGTATCAGTAATATATTCATTTTTTATTGATTAGTAGTAGTTCATTGAATGAATACAGCCATAAATTTCATTTGTTGATGGGCAGTTGATTATTTCTGGTTTGGGCTATTGTGAGCAGCACACACAATAGATCTCTTTGTGAACATGTTTTCCTTATCTTAGGTAAACACCAAAGAGTGGAATTATTTGGTCATAGGCAAGTTTATAAGGATGATCAAATAATTTTACAAAGAGGTCATTTAATTTTACATTTCTAACAACAATGTATGAGCTGCTTCTACATACTCAACAAAATTTGATAGATTTTTAACATCTCTAATGGGCATATAGTATTATGTTAGTATGTTTTAAATTTACATTTACCTGAGGTCTAATAATACTGACCAACTTTTCATGTGTGTCTAGATTATCTGCATATCTTCCAAATTTGGGAGTCAGTTTTAATTGTATTACCTTCTTAGTGAGTTATTAGAGTTCTTTATATGTGCTGAATATAAGCCCTTTGACACTGAATAACTTCTCCCATCTATGTCTTATCCTTTCATTACTTACATAGTCTTTTTCAAAGAGTATGTTTTATTTTTAAATCCAATTGTCAATTTTTTCTTTTATAGTAAGTACTTTCGCACTTAGTCTGAAACCTCCTGGCTTCTATCAGTACCAAAAAAATTGTTGGGTTTTTTCTCTAGAATTTTTGGAGAGTATGCTTCCACTCTTGGATCTACTATCCAAGGAAAAAAAAATTGAACTCTTTGTATGGGAAAAATATCAAACATATACAAATAAAAATAATTTATTAAACACCTGTCTAGCCAACACTTAGCACCAACAATTATCAAGATTTTGTACTTCCTGTGTCATCTATATTTCCATCCATCAAGCATAAATGTTTTTTTTTTTTCTTTTTAAAGATTTATTTTATTTATTTATTTATTTATTTATTTATACAAGCACTGGGTACAGTCAGAAGCGCCGGAGGGTGAGAGAATTCACCAGAGCCAGAGCGGGGAGCAGAGCAGGCAGAAGGACCGAAGTACACTGCTGAGGGGAGCAGCCGGCGGCAGGAGAGGTCTGCGCGCCATGTGGGACCCTCCTCTGGTGGCCGGGGAGCAGCCGGGGATCGAACCAGCGCTGCAGAGGCTGCGGGCAGCTTCGCAACCCGGCGCTCAACCGCTGCACCACCGGGGAGGCCCCAAGCATAAATGTTTTAGCCAATATGTCTCCAAGTAATTTTTCTGTCTCCTCCTATACTTCTGGGACTCTAATCACATAATTGTTAGACCATCCGATATTGTTTCTCAAGTTAATGGATTAATAGTTCCTATCATCGATCTTTTCAGTGTCTAATCTCCTATTAAGTACATTCAATACATTTTTCATTTAATATTTTTATCTCAAAGTACTATTTTGTTCTTATCTTCCTTTTTTATTATGTTCACCTCTTTTAATTCTTGGGAAAATTTATAATAGCGGTTTTAAAATTTTGTCTCAATTTTGCCAGGTCTATTATTTCATTTTTCTCCTTATTTTCTTACACGTTTTCTGCTCATCTGAATGCCTAGTTTTTGATAGGATGCTGGACATCACTGGATCTGAATTTATGTTTTTAAAATGTTTTAAAGTTGTTTCAGAAGTCAGTTAAGTTACTTGTAGATCAATTTGGTGTTCATGAAGCTTGTTTTGATTTAAAAAAAAAAAACACTTCATTTTGGAACTAATTTGACCCTAATATTCAGACATGAACCTCCTGGGCTTTTTATAGAATGTCACAAGGACTCAAGGACATTTTCTTACTGGTTGTTTGTAACACAACATCTCTCCTGTGTAAGGTCTAGTAACTAATTATTAACTTAGTTTCCAAGTTTCTGTTCTTTGCCCAGTTTCAAGTTATATCTTGGAAACTCACAACTTTGATACTCAAAGACACAAGTTTTCTGCAATTCTTTGAGTGGTTTCAGTGTGCTTTTCCACATGTTCCCAAAACTTTAGTCTCCCAAAACTCTGATGTGCATCTTAACTCAACAAAAAATGCTTTGCTTTTTTTCATTTCCTTTCCTTGAACCATAATCTAGAAAATGTCTTAAGACAATGCAGAGAATGCAGGGTTCATTTCATTGGTTTCTCTTCTATCCTAAGTCATAATTCAGATATACCTGTTGTCCAACATTTTAAAACAATTTTATATATTTTGCCCACTTTTTAAAAATTGCTTATGGTGGGATGGCATGCCCAAAATAAGTTATCTGTCATGGCCAAAACCAGAAAAAAACTATTATCACTTGACTGACTTTCCATGGATTTTCAAAGTCCTGCAGGCAGAGATTTAGAAATATCAAGAGTAATAGAAGACAATATTCATGAGAACAGATGCCTAGAATATATTAAGCACTCAGTAACACTAAGTACTAATATTCTTAATGTTTTCATGATTGAGAATACTTGCATCATATTCAGAATACTAAAGAACATATTCTTTATGAATGTTCTTATTGAATATATCATCTTTGACATATACAAAGAATATATTCAACAAATATATTCTACTTATGTAAATATTCTTCAAATGATTATAGTCTTAATATGAATAACGAAAGAACATGTAGACTATCTTGGAAGGTTTGGTGAAAATAGCATAACCCCATAGAAATCACTGCAACTAAATAGCAAAGCTCACTAGAAGGGAAGGGGAAAAGTGGAGAGTAACTCAGGTTAAAGGGGTCAATTTTATGGTAAAGGGTAGAATTTTAGTGGTGAACTTAATGTAGTATGTACAGATGTTGATTTTAAATAATGCACACCTGAAACTTGCAAAGAATAAAGAATGAGCAATGCCCCATTCATGAATAACATACATAACAAACGTAAATGATATGCTGTCCTCTTTACCTCCAAACACAAGCAGATGGAAACAACCCATCAAGAACTTAAAATCTGCTTAGTATCAACATCTGTGCAGGAAGAAACAGAAGGAGGCAACAGGAAATCTGGCAAACCTGAAAACTCCAAAACGACTAACAAGTGTTCCATGTAACTCTCAAAAGGCCAATCTGAAAATAGCACCTAAAACTGGAAGGGATTTTGCATGCTCCAGTAGTGGGTGCATTTAAATGAGTCCATACTGAGATCTGGAGGGACTGCAGCAGTTTGTACATTATGAACTCTCAGAATAAACCAACCAAAGCTCTCTACAAGAATAAACTGCTAGGAATCATACCCAAACTAACCAGAACAGGGACAATAGAGACAAGAGAAGAGGTACAAACCAAAATAGGAAGAGCACAGAATCAGACAGCAAGCCATCATGTATTTTAACATTTTTACAATAGAGTGTTCTACAGGTATGAAGTTAGGAAAAACCTAGCTTGATATAAAAGTGAACAATAGAAAAGTGAGATAAAATTTCATATAAAATTATAAGAAAAAATAATTTTCCTATGGAAAATACAGTGAAAACCACAAGGACATGCTGAATTAGTCTGTTCCAGATGCCATAAAAATACCATAGACTGGGTGGCCTAAACAAAGAAATTTATTTTCTCACAGCTCTGGAAGCTGGGACATCTAAGATCAGGGTGCCTATACAGTAGTTGACTGCTGGTGAGGATTCTCTTGGCTTGTAGAGAACCACCAAATCTAAATATCTTCTCAAGGGAAAATGAGTGAGCTCTCGAATCCTCATTTCTTATAAACGGCACCAACCCTAGGAGATTAGGATCCCACCCTTATGACTTCACTTAATCTTTATCCTCTGGATAGAGTCCTGAATACAGTCTCCTCAGGGAGTAGGGCATCAGTATGTGATTTTGGGAATTCATAACACATGCCCATGAATAAATGAGTACTATTACCTTACTTCAAAATGAGCTAAAACACATTATAAAAATGACACAAGGTATAGAAGAATAACAAAAGTATTATTAGAAAAACTCAAGTTAGGCAATAGAATATAAACTAGAAAAATTGCTAGATGGTTTTTAAATTATTTAAAATAATTTAGGAAATCAAGTATGAATTAGAAGTAACATAAGAGCAAAGCAATACCTTAGAAGTAGAAGGTAAAAGAGGAATTAAAAGGAAAAAATAAGATTTATCACAAAGTAAAAGTGGATACAAAGTAAAAATAATCTCATCTACGTAAAGTAGGTGCCCCAAAGAAAGAAACGAAAGCAAGAGACAGAAAAAATAATGAAAACTATAATTCATGGGACTTCCCTCATGTTAAAAATATATATGAAGTGGCATATTGAAAAGGAACATCACTCTTAAGAAATTTGCCAAAGAATGCATGTCAAAACATATCCTAGCAAAAGCATTGGTCTTTTCTCCTTTGAAATCCTTTGACAATCATTTATTTCTCAATTTCCTAGTTCTTTTTTGAGAAGACATACAAACAATAACTACCCCAGAAGCAATGAGCCACTCTTGCTCCCAATTTTTGGCCTTAAAATACCACTTCACCACTAAAAAATAAAAACTTGAATGTCTTGGGGAAATCACTGATTGCTGGTCAATAGGAGATGAGCTTTAGATATATGACACAAGCTCAGAACATCTATTAAATAGCAATTAGTATTAGAAACTAATTGCATTGACTCAAAAAGACTCAAGGATGGGGGTGCAATTGTATGGGGAATATAACCAAAATGATAATGCATACATTGTGCAAAAATGAAAAATGACATATTATATAAAATATTAATTTAAAAAACTAAAAAAATTAGTACAAATATAGTTACATCATAATTAATGAATTTCTTAATAAAAAAATCTGAAACAAATATGTCAAAACATTAATGCTCATTAGATCTAATAATTAGTCTTTGATTTTTAAATGTTTTCAAAGCATTTAACAATGAAAATGGGCAGATATGTTTTATTTATTAAAACTACAAATGTTAAATAGCTGGGAAAAAAAAAAGACTCGAGAGAAAAAGACTCCAGAAACAAGCTGAAGAGAACACCACAGGCCAAAGATGAAAACTTGAACAAGGATAAAAATTGCAGTGGACTGAATCATGTTTAAAATGATGAGAACATAACTATACTAAAGAAATATAACTGGTCACCTTTGGAGGATGATCAAAAAAATACCATTTTGAAAATTAGAAAACGAAAGTGATGTTTTTTCCTCTTAACTACAGAATTGAATACACAAGCTGACATGTGTGATAAAATTACTTTGAACTAAATGTACACACAGAATTAGATCAGTGGATTGTGTATTGCAATGTCCTGGGTATGGTGCTGTAAATTTGCAAAATGTTTCCATTGGGAGAAACTACCTAAAGGATGTACAGGATCTAATTTCTTATAGCTATACATGACTGTACAATTACCTCCAAAAAAGTTTAATTTAAAACTTCATTAGCAATGTTTTCAAGGATAATCTATTACTGAATGCATTCTTGAAAGTTACATTTTCTTATGAACATATTTCCCTTAGGAAAGAGAACATAAGGACAAGGAGATCATATGTAAGTCGGCTTCCTCAAGCCCCTCAACCTTCTGCCACTCTATAGTCAGTCTACAGGTTCAGCAACAGGGTAACAAGTTCTATGTTCCTTATTAACATTCCTTTACTGCCACCATACCACTTGTTTTAGAATGTTTTTAAGACCCTTTCAATATTTTAAGCCTATATATAATGATGAATAAGTCACGAGTAACAACTGTAATGGTAATAACTGATGATGGTAATAACTAGGGTGGTTGTGGGGGCAATGATGATGATGGGGTTGTTTGAATACTGCTTTTAGACAGTCTCCCAAGCTGTAAGATGAAACAAGAAAAATTAATACACCTGGGAGACAAAAGCCTGATAACATAGCACAGGTGTAAACCAAGACTAATTGCTCCTTGAGTGAGGACCCCAATCTCCGGAGTGACTGCCCCCCAGGGGAGGTGCTGCCCATATATATGCAAACCAACCCCCAAGTCTCCTGATCTCAGTGACCCATTTTTCATGGCTGTACTGGCTCCTGTGAATATATTTAGGCTTTGAAGTAAGGGTCTCTTATAATTTCATGTTTATTTCCTGATTGTTCAAACCAAGGAATCCCCCCCAAATTTCTAGAAGACCGTGTTCCAGTTTTCCTCAGCACAGGTATTTATCTAGGGTTTTAAAGCAATTGTGTGAAAAAATATTTCTTTCATGAACTACTGTTTCTATTTCCAACCATATAGTTATCTTTGTCTCTAAGTGTTTTTCTTTGTGTGCTATGTTCTCATTGGCAGCAATCCTGAGCCTCTAATGGTCTGGTAGAACTAGAGGTAATAACTGTAGTAATGGATATGAAATATGAGGGTCATGTCTGCCAATTTTATATCATTAGATGATTATGGTAGAAAAAAAATAATAAATCAAAGCTCTCTAGGATTTTCCCAATGGCACTGCACAAAATGAATGGTTTCACTACCCACTGCTTTTAAAGCACTTTGATATGCGGTAATAATATATCAAGGTAGATTCTTTCAGTTCCTTCTTTTTTTAAGAGGTGAGAACTGGGCAGAAGAGATATATAAGATTTTTCAAACTATTTTATTATCTAGAAGAAATGTATTTTCTCCTTTGTAATAAACAGAAATAGTATTCAAAAAAAACTTAGCTACTGCTAATATTATTGTGAGTTAAATACCTCACCAGCAATAATAAATGAATTTTGATATACAAGGCAGGTGTTCTTGTTGCCACATCAACCACATCAGATCCTAAGGATTTAAAGGCGCTTATCTCCAGGAATAGAAAACAGTGCCAGAGTTATTGTTATAAGTCAAATATACAGAGAGAATGTATTTTTAAATGCTACACTTAAAAAAATAGATTACAATGTGTTTTTAAAAAATACATTTATACATACACATATGTAAATGCATATATGTGTAGGCAAAAACCTAGAAGGATGGTCACTACCAGTATTAGTCTCAATAAAGGGGAAGTGGCATACTTATTTGGGCTTAGTTGTACACACCTGAGCTTGGAGGCCAATTAGAGGCCGCGGATTGCTTCACAGTGCTGTGCTTAACCCTTTGCACCACCAGGGAGACCCAAAAGATACATTTTCTTATGAACATATTTCCCTTAGGAAATAATTTGTAATTTTCTACAACACAGGTATATTGCTTTTTTTTTTTAATGCACCTGAAAGAATCACCCTCTATCTCCAAAACATCAATAAATTTGTTGACTAAATAATAAAATGCTACACAAAGGTAAGCAAAACAACATAGTTTAGTGGCAACCAAACATATTCATCCCCAGAAGTCCTGGGTTTTGATCCCAGTTCCGCGTTTAATCAGCTTTATGACTTAGAGTGACTTATAGAGCTTCAACTTCCCCTTTTGTATCTTATGCACCAACTAAGATATGGAGCGTAAAGCCCACTCAACCACAACACTGCTTAGACATGTAGGGGTGGCTCAAGGCTACATCCTTGAGACAAGGAAAGAAACGCACCAGAGAGATCAGAGTTTGAGTTCCAAGGGACTTAGTATTCAGCACCTCCATTTTTCACTACGAAAGTGTGTAGTGCAAGTAGGCAGGGGGGCAGGAGCCTCAGGAGGCAAAGGAGCCACAGAGCCTCCCAGCCCCCCGCGAATCTTCACTTTTTCTGGGCCCTCTTTGGCCTTCTCTCGGGATCTCACCTCTTCCGTAGTCCCTGGTCCTCTCGGAGCCATCCTCTTGCAGCCGTCTGTTTCTGACTACCGCCGTCCTTATAGCCTGGGTATCCAAGCTCAGGTGTGCACACTTACGCATGCGCACACTCACACTCAGGTGCCCACCATCAGGCCCGCGTGGCCCGCGCCCACGCTCCCAAGCGCCTCCTGCATTCACACCGTCAGGGCTGCAGGTGCTAGCCCCAGAGGCTAGTAGTGTAAAAAAGCAGATTAATTCCATTTACCCTACAGAGTGGTCACAAAACCCTACTCTAAACATTTCTCCTCATACACTTAACATTGTAGGAGGCGTTAATGAGATTGACCTTTGAAGAGCATTATACAAAAGTTAGTGGTGATATAAGAAAGCAATTAAAATAGTGAGAATTTAAGGCATTTAGCTTAAGAAATACTTCTCAAAGATGAGGTATTGCCATACATTGTGCAAAAATGAAAAACGATGTAAGAATTATATAAAATAAAATATATTTTTTAAAAAAGGAGGTGTTGTGGGGTAAGTGATGGTCAGGCTTCTGTGCTGTTGGCCTCTGTGGCTATTACCTGTGCTTTGGGAGTGTGTGCTCGGGGCACGCATGCCTGATGGTGGATGCCTGGTGTATGGTGTGGGCGTGCGTTAAGTGTGCACACCTGAGCCCGGAGGCTGAGGCTGTAAGGGGCAGCATCACACAGAAATGGCTATGGTGGAACCTCTAGAGAGGATGAGCGACGGTTACAAGAGGAAGAGAGCAGGAGAGAACACCAGAGAAAGCACAAAGATTCGCAGAGGGTTGGGAGGTCCGCCAGCATCCCAGCCCTGGGGCCCCCAGCCCACCCTGCCCCTGATCGCCTCCCTACAGATGTCTTTAGGTATCACATCCAGGAAAGCTGACTCATGCTTCTCAGGGACACATCTACATGTTGATGTTTTGCCTTTAGGGAGGTAATGGGACTGTGGTTTGCTATTATGATGTGAAAATAACCACGACAAATAGTAATAATAGCTATTGAGCTTTTTTTTAAATAAATTTTATTTTTATATTCCCCATACAATGCTATTGAGCTTTTGCTCAGTACTGTACTACTTGCTGTGTCCAGGTTGCACCACAGATCAAATTAAATCAGAACCTCGGTGGGTACAATCCAGCCATCAATAATGTTTAAGTACATGCTCCAGGTGATTATAATATACTGTGAATATTAAAGAGAACAGTTTAGGGCCTTGTATCTGGTCAAAAACTAAGAACAAATAGCAAATGATAACTGACATTTTTACAGGAATTGGGTACTTGAAAAGACATTTCTAAACGTGCAGTATCCCATGCTATTTTCACTACCCTCTTTGGAAGTAATATTGCTAATTTCTTACTTCAGAGACAGAGTTTGACTTCGACTCAAAGACACAGCTGTAACTACCCTATCACCTCTGACACTGCATCAATTTAGGTATGTATTGGTATGTTCACATTCGAGGACTATTTAGGAATTGCACAGATGGCAAGATATTTCATTTCTGAACAAAATACATCTCCAACTCAAAATATGAAATATACTTCTTGCTACCTATTGGGTAGAGGGTTTCCAATTTTCACATATACTAGTGGCACCTGGAGAGAGTGGTACGCCCAGATTGGAGGACCCCATTCCCAGTGTGTGATTTGCTAAGTCAGGGGTAAGGCCCGTGAATTTGCATCTCTAACATGCATGGAGATGCCAATACTGCTGCTGGTCCAGAGACTACGCTTTAAAAACCACAGCTCTGGGATATCTGGGAATCATGAAAGTGGTAAAAGTTCCATATCTTGCCCCCTTTCTCAGCTCCATGAGCTTTGAAACATACAGGGGTTGATCTTCCTCCCAGAAAACAGCAGGATGAGGGGAAGATACATCAAGATCACATGGTGTTGGCTCCAAAAGATCAAAACTAGCTTCACCAAGCTGTCCAAGATCCAGTCTTTTTTTTTTTAATAATAAATTTTATTTTTATATTCCCCATACAATTGCAACCCCCCCATTCTGACCCCAATCCCTCCCCTCCCACTCCCCACCCCCCAAAAAGTGTCTCTGGTTCATAGTTTTTTGTTGATTTTGATTTTCACTTTCTTATAGTTATCCATTTTCCTGGTCCCTTATTTAAGTTTTCTAGATTCCTGCTATGAGTGAGACAATCTGGTATTTTTCTTTTTCTTTCTGGCTTATTTTGCTGAGCATGATCCCTTCCAGCGCCATCCATGTTGCTGCAAATTGCATGTGTTTATCTTTTTTGAATGCTGAGTAATATTCCATGGTATATATGTACCATATCTTCTTGATCCAGTCATCTATTTTTGGGCATTTGGGCTGCCTCCAAAGCTTAGCTATTGTAAACAGTGCTGTCATAAACATAGGGGTGCAGGTGTTCTTTGGAATTGATGTTTCTGTGTCCTTTGGGTAAATACCTAGGAGTGGAATTGCTGGATCATATGGAAGCTCTATCTTTAGTAGGTCCAGAAATCTCCACACAGCTCTCCATAGTGGTTGGACCAGTTTGCACTCCCACCAGCAGTGCAGGAGAGTTCCTTTTTCTCCACATCCTCGACAACATTTGTTGTTGCTAGTTTTTTAAATATGTGCCATTCTCACTGGTGTAAGATGGTATCTCATGGTAGTTTTGATTTGCATTTCCCTGATTACAAGTGATGTTGAACATTTTTTCATATGCCTGTTGGCCATTTGCATTTCCTCTTCAGAGAAGTTTCTTTTTAGCTCTTCTGCCCATTTTTTGACTGCAAGATCCAGTCTTTTATGGGGTTCTTCTCTCCCATCCTCACAGGGATCCCACCCAGAGGAGAATGGCTGCAGAAAATTACTCTACAGTGACAGAGTTCATACTTGGGGGATTGACAAATCGACCAGAGCTCCAGCAACCCCTCTTCTTCCTCTTCCTGGGCATCTACTCAGTCACCATGATAGGGAACCTGGGCATGTTCACTCTGATTTGTCTGAACTCACAACTCCACACCCCCATGTACTACTTCCTTTGCAATTTGTCACTTGTGGATCTCTGCTATTCCTCTGTCATTACCCCGAAAATGCTGGTGAACTTTGTGTCACAGAAGAACATTATCTCCTATGCAGGGTGCATGTCCCAGCTCTATTTCTTCCTTGTGTTTGTCATTGCTGAGTGTTACATGCTGACGGTGATGGCCTATGACCGCTATGTTGCCATCTGCAGTCCTTTGCTCTACAACATCATCATGTCTCATCAGGTCTGCTCCCTGCTGGTGGCTGGGGTCTACACCATGGGACTCATTGGCTCAACAATAGAAACTGGCCTCATGTTAAAGTTGTCCTACTGTAAGCCCCTCATCAGTCATTACTTCTGTGACATCCTCCCCCTCATGAAGCTCTCCTGCTCCAGCACCTATGATATCGAGTTAACAGTCTTCTTTCTGGCTGGATTCAACATCATAGTCACCGGCTTAACAGTCCTTGTTTCCTACGCCTTCATCCTCGCCAGCATCCTCCGCATCAGTACCACAGAGGGAAGGTCGAAAGCCTTCAGCACCTGCAGCTCCCACCTTGCAGCAGTGGGAATGTTCTATGGATCAACTGCATTCATGTACTTGAAACCCTCCACGGCCAGTTCCCTGGCCCAAGAGAACATGGCATCCGTGTTCTACACCACAGTGATCCCCATGCTGAACCCCATAATCTACAGCTTGAGGAACAAGGAAGTAAAGGCTGCCGTGCAGAAAACACTAAGGAGAAAAGTGTTTTGATGCAAATATTCATGTCCTTTCTCAGTTTTAGAAGTTGTACAACTACCAGAGGGAAGCTCTCTGCATGCTTACCCATCCATGATGGGAAACCATCAACCATATGTTTGGATGAATGCCTCCTGCTTTCCTCTTGCTTCCCTCCCTTTCTCTCCTCTCATTTCTGGTAGAAACCAACTGATTTCAAATCCATGCTTCCTTTCATTTGGGATTCATTTTCTCTGTCCTCTTTGGTAAGCATTTACTAGCTTAATTATAATTTACATAAATTCTAAACTTTCAACACTGATTTGAGAGTCGCTCATTGCATAATTATTTTCTATATAGAAAGTATTATTCAAAAAAAAAAGTATTACTCAACCCCATCTTTTTGCACTTCTTCAAGGTGCCTAAGGAAAGGTGACACTAGAGGACCCAGCTCAACCCTGTTGCTGGCACCATCCCAAGTTTAACATTGAAAAACCCACAGCCTGGGAAACCCCTCCGTCCCACACACAACAGGATAGGTGATGGCCCTAGTGTACATATCACTGCAAAATCTCATGTCCTGCTAAGATGTGGTATATATACACAACGGAATATTACTCAGCAATCAAAAAAGATAAACTCATGCCATTCACAGCAATGTGGATGGAGCTAGAAGGAATTATGCTCAGTGAAATAATCCAGAAGGAAAAAGAAAAATATTGGATGGTTTGGGGGAACCAAATAAGACATCAGTGTAAAAAAATAGTAACAGTACAAAACACAACAAAGCAAAAACAGACAATTATAAACCAGAGACATCCTGCAGGGGAGGAGGAGGGAGAGGGATCAGAGGGAGGGAGGAAGGAGCACAGGGGACTGAGGTGATGGTGCACGGGTGCTTTAGGGAAGGAAACTCTATGGGGACTACACCTAAGGGGGTGGGGCGAGGCAAATATTATTTAAAAATGAACAATGTTGTAAAAAATTTTTAAAAAATATCTCTTGTCCTGCTTAAATAACTGATGGTGTACTGCCAGCCTTGTTCAGTAAATCCAGGGGCCAGAGGACAAATATTCCCCCACACCGCTTGCTCACAATATCAAGAATACATAATTTAGACACAGTCACCTGATATAGAGCAAAGAATTAGAGTGTGTCCTCTTGTCATATATAGATAGCTATTTTGGTGTACTACTGCACCAGGCAGTGGTTGATTATGAGAAACAGAAATAACTCTAGTGTTCTCACACAGAAAGGGACTTAGTGCAAGGGATTACCTTTTTTATGGTTTTTCTAATGACTGGAGAAGCAAAAGG